GCATGAGCGCAGGTGATGGGGGAGGAGATGAAGAGGGAGATGATGAACATTCCTCCTGTCCAGGGATTGTCACAGCCGTAAACCTGCCCTATCCCCACAGGCACTGACCTGAACAGCTGAAGAAAAGACAAAGATRTTTGAAAAGGTTAAAGTCACGAGCGTGTTAATGTGGAGCATTGTTATTAGGCCCCCCAACTGACCTTTGCGACGTTGATTTCAGCCCAGGTGATGTTTGGGAACTCGGAGCGCGGCTGGATGAGCACCTGGGGGAAGTGGTTGTTGTAGTGTCCGGTGGCGACCATGTGGAGACACACCAGGATGTTGAAGGGCAGCGTGAAGACGGGCAGATCCCAGCGGCTGTTAATGGATGCCAGGGCACTGGACACAATGGGACTAAAACACAACAATGCAGAACATCATCAGCTGTGTTAAACTGTCATGATCTGTGTTTTTGCTTTAGTTTTCTAGTGTTTTCTGTTCCCCAGTTTTCCTTTCCCTGCTGTTTTACCTCCAGCCCCGCCCACGCACACCTGATCCCTCTTATGTCTCCCCAGGTGTTTCTRATTGTCCCTTAATTTGTCTGCTTTATTTTCTGAGGCTTGTCATTCGTGTTTGTCCGTTCATTGTGCTGGTTCCCCAGTCAGTTTGGTTGTCTCTGTGTTTGCTACCTGAGATCTCTCCCTGTAAGTACTTTGAGCTGCCTCGTCAGCCTTTTCGTTTATTTAATAAAACCTTTTTGTTACTTTTTGGATCTCTGCCTGCTCCCTGGGTCATTCTGCACACAACAGAGGTGATTGCTCTAAGACTGCCAGGGAAGCTCAGCTTCCCCTAAAATGTAAAAAATAAAAGATCAAAAATATACTGTTGTGAGTACATATCATCGACTAAATATGCGCTACAACGCACTCAACTTTTGTTCAGAATCAGCTTCTTCTTATCACTGGTAACGACGCGGCTTTCCTCTCCCTCATTCCCGCAGCTTCACGGTGCTTTAAACAGTACTGGAAGCTCAGCTTCCACAGAGCTCATTAGCGATGCAAAGACTGCAGCGAAACGAGACGAGTCACTGGATAAATGCTGGGCTTTGTCCCGCCCATCGGACGCTGAGCGTCTCTGAGGGTCTATGGGGAAGTGGGCTGGCCTCGGCCAGCCCGGACACTCAGCTTCTGCGTGATGATTGGATGATCTGTCTGAGGCTGAATCCCTTTTTGATTGACAGCGAAATGAGCGAATCAGCGATCTTTTGGTGTAAACATTCCGTGGGAGCATTTTTTAGTTTTGTTTCTGTTCGGAGTTGAACCGGAGATTACTTGCCTTTAGAGGCATTTTCTGTGTTAAAAACAACTAGCGACAAATCNTGTTGACTGTCTAACTGAATGGATAATGCAGTTTGAAGCAGATAACGACACAGATGTTTGACACGAAGCTGAAGTTAGCTTCCGATTCGGGAAATGACTAGAGGGACATTACAACTAATTTTTCACTCCCTTGCGCGTGTTTAACCTGCTCTAGCTCAAAAACTACAACACCTATACTCTTCAAATCTGGACTAGATTATTCTACACTAATAGAAGAATTTTAAAAACACGTTTGGGATTTGGGAAACCTTTGTCTGATTTGTGAAAAATCAATAAAGTTTGTTTTTCATCGTTTTTATGCTCCAGCTCAAAAACCACAACACCTGCACTCTTCAAACCAGGACTAGATTATTCTACACTAATAGTGGAATATGTAAAACTAAGTTTTGGCTTTGGGAAAGCTTTGTCTGATTTGTGAAAAATCAATAAATTTTGTTTTTCATCATTTTATAGGCAATTGGACCACATTAGACCTGGTCCAGCTCAAAAACCACAACACCTGGACTCTTCAAATCAGGACTATATTATTCTACACTAATAGAAGAATAATAAAAACTAAGTTTGAGCTTTGGGAAACCTTTGTCTGATTTGTGAAACATCAATAAAGTTTGTTTTTCATCGTTTTTATGCAACCAGATAAATAAAACAAGAGGCAAAGCGTCCACCCAGTTTAACTTTGTGTCTGCACATACTTTAGCTAAACTTTCCTTCAATGTCCTGTTTGCTCTCTCCACTTTGCCCTGGGACATCGGATGGAAAACAGCTCCAAACTGTTTCTTGATCCCAAATATCTGCTCCACTTTTTGCGGTTCCTTATTTGAAAAATGCCTGGCATTATCAGATCTTATGACAGCAGGTATACCAAACCTCGGAATGACCTCCACTTTACCACCTCAGATGCTTTCTCCGTGCATGTCGGCACCGCTTCAATCCATCCACTGAACATGTCAACACAAACAAGCATAAATCTCTTCCCCTTTACCCTGTTCTTAGCCCCCACGTCTGTGAAATCAACACACACCTCTTTCCATGGAGCAGCAGGAATCGGAAATGCACCGAGACCAACTTTCAGCACCCCCTTCGGGTTATGTCTGGAACAGATTTGACACATCTGAACAAAATACTTAGAAATTGCTCTGATATTAGGATGCCACCACACCTGAGTGATCACGTCAATCATTTTAGCACTTGAACCATGCCCCCTACTGTGAGCCTCCTGACACAGCAGGTTCACCAGAATTTCTGGAGCCACAACCTTACCCTCATGGTTCCTGTAGATGCCCTCAGCATCCTGTCTGGCCCCTCTGTCTTGCCACAGTTGTTTCTCTGAAACGGCAGCATTAGTTTGCATCTCTAATATAGTTTGAACATCAATTTTTTTCTGCAAAATGTTTTCATCAGAACTCACAGCAGGACCTCCTTCTTCCACCTGGACCATCTGTCTGTCTTTCTCATAACCAGCACACTCCTTTGCTGCTCTGTCAGCCTGAAAATTCCCTTTCCCCACCACATCACACTTTTTCTGGTGAGCTTTGCATTTTAATATCGACACGGCCCGTGGTTGCCTCAATGCATAATATAAGTCCAATATTTGATGCAAATGAGTCAATAGTTTTCCCGAAGCCGTCACAAAGCCTTTCCTCATCCACTGGCTCAAATCAACACGAACACTGCGATGCACGTAGTCTGAGTCTGTGTAAATGTTAACAGTTTTTCCTGCTGACAAATTACACGCCTCAATCACAGCTTTTAATTCAGCTAATTGAGCTGATGCTGGTTGTTTAATCACATCTGACCTCAACACAACAAACTTTCCTTGACATTCTGACACCACAGCAAAAGAGGCAATGGGCCTCATGCAAGAACCGTTCGTACGCACAGATTTGTTCTTAAGTTGTGCGTACGAGTGATTTAGTAGAATTTGTGGCATTCACCAATGTTTTCGTATTCTAAGATTTTTTTCAGATACGAACAAAATTCACGAGTG